CGCTCAAGAACGACATGTGGAAGATGTTTACGCTCAACGGCAATTACAAGTGGGTCGACGAACTACCGCGTCTCGTATCAGATTACAACGCGCGCAAGCATCGCACTATCACAAGCATGCGACCCGCCGACGTAACTCCCGCTATCGCCGAAAGACTCTTGGGCACGGTGTACAGCGCAATAAAGATCACGGGTGCGGCGGAATTCAAAGTGGGTGATTTGGTACGCGTGAGCAAGTACAAGACAATTTTTGAGAAGGGTTACACACCAAATTGGACCACCGAGGTGTTTACAATCGTTAAAGTGCAGCGTACCAATCCCGTAATCTATCTACTCGAGGACTATCGCAGAAAATCCATCGCTGGAGCGTTCTACGAGCACGAGTTGCATCGCGCTACACATCCGGACGTGTATCTAGTGGAGAAAGTACTGCGCAGGAAGGGAGACAAGGTGTACGTCAAATGATTGGGATTCGATGGATCGCACAATTTATGGATACATAAAAACAATGTCATTTGAAAAAAAAATGTTTTTTTTAATTCATATTTTTTTATACATATATAATAAATATATCAATATAAGTATATAAATGTATAAAATATTTTTATTATCCCTTTCATCTTCGTTTGGAGTATATAAAATACATAATTTTTAAACACAATATATGTATAGAGATAAAATAAGTATATATATGTATATATAGGGGAACATGGGGCAAAGTGGGATACGGGGCAAAGTGGGATTTTGCCGTTTCGTTTTATAAGAGCAGTTCCTATATGTTTATTTACATTGTTTGTTGACAAATGAGTTGACCTAGTATAAATTTTGAAGTGTTTCCCAATTTCCGCGCATTCTTCGGAAAGGTTTCATACAAGGTGTCCTACATTTGTGAGAAACTCAAACATTACGTATATTTCTATTGACTGTAAGTACCAATAAATTAAATGTAATTGAAATTTGAATTGCATGGGTTTGTAGGCTTACATTTACCCTCTTTTTTCGTTTTTTATTTATTTCATTTGGCGTTGAGGGTTATTTTTCGTATAATATTTTATTTAATCTGCGTTTGGGGCAAAGTGGGCGGGGCAAAGTGGGATGCCTTTCCGTTTTGATTCATCTTCACATAGGTAACTTTTTCATAACTTTATGTCTATTTCTTCATTAAATGGTTCGCACGTATAAAAGGAGGACGAAGCATCAAAATTGGTCCACAGAATCAATGATTCAGGCCATTTCAGTCGTTATTAATAACGAAATGTCCATTGCAAGTGCAGCAGTGAATTATAAAATCCCTTCATCAACTTTACAACGTTATGTACAAAAAAAACAAAGGGATGAGAATTTTGTTGTTGAAAAGCATTTGGGACGTTTTAGAACAGTATTTACAATGGAACAAGAAGCTGAAATAGTTTCATATTTGACTGCAATGGAGGCAAAGCTCTTTGGCATGACAATTTTCGATCTTCGAGAAATTGCTTTCCAACTAGCGGAGAAAAATAACATTGACCATCCTTTCAAGGAGACGGCAGCTGGTTTAGATTGGGCTTATGGATTCATGAAAAGAAACCCGTCACTGAGTTTAAGAACTCCTGAAGCGACATCGGCCGCGCGTGCCATGGGGTTTAATAAAGTCGTCGTTGCCAATTTTTTTAAGCTACTAGAGGAGACTATAACGAACAATGAAATCACCCCAGATCGCATTTATAATTGCGATGAAACGGGATTTACAGTAAATCCTAAAGCCCAATCCAAGATTATTGCAAAGAAAGGCCGTCGTCAAGTCGGTGCAATAACGTCTGCTGAAAGAGGGCAGACGGTAACTGCTGAAATTTGCTTTTCAGCAGCTGGTGTTTTTGTTCCTCCAATGTTGATATTTCCAAGAGTTAGAATGCAGAACGAATTTGAGATTGGTCTCCCTCCATCAGCATTTGCAGTTTCTCATGAAAGCGGGTGGATGACCAAAGAATTGTTCGTTGTTTGGTTTAAAAAATTTATCGCATTCTCCGGCGCTTCACACAGTCGCAAAGTGCTTCTTCTGTTTGATGGTCACTCCACTCACACAAAGAACCTGGAATTAATTGATTTAGCACGAGAAAATGGAGTCATACTTTTGTGCTTTCCACCACATTGCTCACACAAGCTTCAGCCTGGAGATGTTTCTTTTATGAAGCCGTTAATGACATACTACGCTGATGAAACTCGAAAATTTTTACGCACTAATCCTGGAAAAGTCGTAACTATTCGCCAAATTGCTCCCCTTTTCGGTGCAGCATTTATTCGAGCTGCAACTACGTCTACGGCTTTGAATGGATTTAAAAAAACCGGCATTTGGCCCCTAGATCCGAATATTTTTACCGACATTGACTTTATGCCTTCGACAACCACGGACATCGAAATCTTGGAATCTTCAACGTCCAATAATGATGAAGAATTGCCAACACCCGTACCTGGCTCATCGACAAGCTCGTCATTTGGCGAAAAAACCCTACAAGAGATTATGCCAATTCCGAAAGTGCAAGCACAGTCAGCTCCAAGAGCGTCCCGAAAAAGAGGTGCCACAGCAATCCTGACGTTATCTCCATATAGACAGTCTCTTCAGGAAACTGAAGACTCAAAAAAAGCGAAACAAGAGAAGAAACTGCAAAGAGAATCTAAATTGAAGCATCAGGCAAAAGAAAAATGCCGCAAATCCTCGCGCAAGCTATAGTGTTATATTATATTTCTTTTGTTATATTATATTTTGTTTATATTATATTTCTGTTCTGACAATAAAAAAGTACTTTTCCTTAATGCCATTATGCACTATTTTCATTAAAACCTTTCCAGAAGTCATTTAAACAACACATCCCACTTTGCCCCGTGATTTTCAAATTTCTCAAAATAATACTTTTTCGTAAAAATAAAATTAGGATTATAAAACATATATTTTTATTTAAGGAATCAGTTGAATATGTTAGTTTAGGAACCGAATTAGGGTTTTGATACGTTACCATAACTTTTTTTATGCAATATCATTTGGTTTCATAAGTTTTCTCATAGGCAGCCCACTTTGCCCCATGTTCCCCTAATACAATATTTAAAAATACATATACACTGTATGAAAATATAAAAATCTTAAAAAAAACATACATGAAGTGTAAATTATAATGATAGTAATATATAAAAATAATATTTATACGTATATAAATATGTAAAATATACATGAAATATATATTAAAATAATACTTAAAAATAATAGTAATACATATAAATGTAAAAAAAAATGTGTGATACATGAAATGTAAATTATAATGATAGTAATATATGTATCATATGTTTTATAGGTAGTAGTATATATTGCTATCATGTATTACAAAGGTATCCGCCAATGCCCCCACGGTAACGTCTCCGTCGAGTCTGGTACAACATATTGTTTATCGTCGTATGGACTCAGAGCGATTTTCGATTCGGAAATCGTGTATACCTCGTGCAGTTTAGATCGTATACACGATTGACGGCGAGTCATTTCTATCTCTTCGTTCAAACAACGCGTGTAATCATCGAACGTTATCGTTCGCGCTACGACGTTGTTCTTTACACCTTTCGCTTTTTTAGTATCCTTTTTTCCATCTACAAGCAAGGCGTACATCTTCGCTCTGAGTCCAACGAATTCAGTCATTATTGTGCCGTTGTTTTCGTCCTTCATCAGACCTGGCACCTTCTTATTCGCGAGAGGTATACCGTACGCGTTGTCCGCCGGATAATCGCTCGTGTCGAACCTAGCGATATCGAGTTTCATAGTCTCGTAAACGTCTTCGCATTCGATATGATATATGAGACTATCCGTGTCGGTGTACATGATCTTACATTTGTCTCGATACATCGGTGACATGTACTCGTGGTGAAATTCGTACAAGCAGACTTTTGATATGTCCAGTATACACATACCCACGTAAATCGGCTTGTCGAATTTCACACCGGTGTGAACCTGGCGCCCAACTTTATCAAAATTAAAAATTAATA